GAGAGAGAGAGAGAGAAAATCACGATTCATATTCATCCTTTTTTCCCCTCATTCCAACATTTTCCATCTATTTCATCCCAAATGTATCGATCCCTGAGAGAAATTCTCATTTAAATCGATCGCTTTTTTGCCAAACAATCTCCCCGCACGGCAAACTCTCTTTACAGATACATTCTATTCTCCCTTAACGATAAGAGCAAAACGGAATCAACCCCCTGAAAACCCACCTCCACCATCACCACCACCGTCGTAACGAAAATGAGACTTTGGCCGAGCGTAATCGAAGCTGAAGAAAAATCGTTCAATTGTTATTCGCGTGACGCAGCAGAAAGATATTAGGGGTGGCCGAGGAGCCCTATAAAACGCGGGCCGAAGGAATGATAATGTAATAAGTGGCGGTGATAAGGAAAACTAGTTTGGCCGCTGTAGGAAATCGGTGGGTCAGCAATGGAAAATCGCTGAGCAGAAACGAAGACGAAGAAAAGAGACGAAGAAAGGGGATGGGACGAACATAATGGAAATTGAACCGAGTTGGTGGGCCGAGTAAGGAAATCAAATCCATTTGCTCGTCACCTTATCGTTAAGTCATAATTGCGCACCACGATCGTTGTGTACTTCTCCTCTCTCTTACTCACTCACTCCTTCTTTTTAAGGGTGGCGTTGGAAACGATCGGATAAAACGTGCTCCAGAAGAAGAATTACACGAGCGTCCGTTGATACACAGCCAGATAGAGAGGTTGAGAGAAAGAGAGATCAAGCCGAATGGATTTCTGCTAAGCCCCCCGTAAGGAATATCGAAGGCGTCTCTTATCTTGAAGGATATTTATAACCAGGTGGAAGGCTTTCTATTTCCTTTTTCTACTTTTCGCCAATTTACGTTGTATCCTCGAAATTACCGGCTGGCAATTACTCAGACGTATTGACGTTGGAATGAAGAATAAACGAGTTGGGATTTTATGAAGTTGGCAGGGGGATTGAGATTTTTCTTTGGTTTATGAACCAACGTATCGTTTGAAGAGCTCCTCGTGAAAGTTTGATCGTTATCGAATAATTGTAATGTACGTTTTAATTTTTCTTTCTTTTGTATTGAGATTTGTAGAGATTTGATTGTCGAGTATTTTTGTTTTGGACTGATTGTTGTTGAAGAAAATGGAAGAAATAATAAATAAGTTTATAAATAACGCAATAAAATTTTTATTAACCTACTGATCAATCATTCTTTCCTTATCACCTTTTATAATATATAATTTTCAAATAATTTCTTTTTGTTCAGTATAAAGTAAAATTGAATTTCTCATATTTTGAAAAAGGATCAATTTATAGTAAATTATTGTCTTAAAAATGAAGTCATTTAATCACATTTGCTTTTTAATTTTTAAAAAATTAATAGATTGTCTGCTATCTGGGACGTTTATCTTAATAAATATTTATTTATTGAATAGAGAGTTCAGTAAAATTTTGGTTCAAAATAAATAGAAGAGTAATTCCTCTTCTTTTACAGATCTTTAACAAGTTATATTACATGATGTATTATTTGAAATGTGAAACATTATTTGAAATTTTCGAAATTTTATTCCGTTTTTCTCATAACGGAGATGAATAACAGAAACGTAATGAAACTTCTAAAATCAAGTTGCATTATACGTGAATCGTGTACAAGGGATACAAAATTGTAGAGTATGATCCTTGAGAGTTGTTAGACAATTTGGAGCTTGGACTCCAGCCCAATTAGCCTATGCACACATTCGCCTTGCTTTTAGCCAAAATTTGATCTCTATTTAGAGATTACATTGCTAAACCTTTCCAGTTACGAAAGCCATTCTTCGTAACTATGCACCCCTGAGACACAAATGTTGAATCCTTCTTCAACGAAATTTAATTTTACGCATTTTACTAATTAACTCCACAATTTTTCCTCCAACCTCTTATCTCGATTAATCGCAATATATTTCCAATTATTCTCACTTTGAACATTCTCCTTTCCTATTTAAATTCAATTCAAGAAAAATACCCGAAATATACGAAATATATAAACTCTATCCTTTCAAAAACAATCTAATTCTCATCATTTCCAATTTCACTATTCTAATACAATCTGAATCCATACCACCACGAACGAAATATTTACTTAAAACTCTATCACCTGTAAAATTCATCTCAAAAGAAATCTTAATCAACTGAAAAAAAAAGTATACCCCAAAATTAAATCAAAATTTCCAAAAATATACTTTCCTCTTCATCAAATTTCCACGCGATGGAAAACAAAAATAAAAATTCACGGGATAAACGATAAATTTCTCCAGTCCAGTTTGTTCGCAAAATTGGCCCAATCCTACTCGATAAGTCTGCAAGGTTAATACACCGGGTCAGGCCAACCCCTCTGTCCGGTACACAGGGTCCGGAGAGTGCACTCGACGAGGGTTCTCGGCAAACGTCATAGCGTGGCGAACTTACGGCTGTATATACGTGTGTGTATATATATATACATGATATGTGCACACGCGTACTCACGTATTTCATTGAAATAGAAAGGGTATTCGCCGGGCACGGAACAGTTGAGCCTCGCTTTCAGGAAGCTCGTCCATCTGTCGTTGAACGCATGAGGTCCGCCCTTGTCGTGCTGGCACACTCTACCGACCCGCGAGTACACCGCCTAAAACACAAATGGGCACGAACCTTTCGAACAATCCTTCGATATTTTTCCGCCCTTTGATGGGACCGTCTTGCTCTCCTCCAACCTGCGTACCGAGCTATTATACTCGGCTACTTTGCGAGGCTGGGGAGGGGACCGAGGGTGAAAGACTTGGCGCGTGAAAATTTGAGGATGGATTGGAAGAAAATAGGTTGTGGATTTGTGCGGTGGAACAATGTATTGCGCTTTTGTTGATTATTTAAAAGCGACGATATATCGATGGGATATTTTTTGTTTGTTTGTTTGTGAGATAATTTATCGAATGTTTAAAATTCTTTTTCGAAACTTTTATCAATGTTTTAATAGTAGGAAATTTTGAAAACAATAGCAACGATCAAAGTATTATTTCTAATAATTATATTAAGATAAAAAGTGAAACACAAAAACGTTTTACGATAAAATAATCGAGTCTTACCTTGCCGCAATTCATGTACTCGACAGCTGTTTCTCGATAAAAGAAGAAGACGTAATCTTCGTATGCAAACGAGCTGACAAAGTTCGGGCCTGAAATAACAAAGTTTGAATCAAAATTACAAAAAAAATCTCTTCCTAAATTTAAATTCTCTGCTATTTATTCATCTCCAGGAAGTATTAAATTGTCCCAAAGTTCTTTTCTTCTGGTTTCTTTTTTTTATCGATATCGTAACACATCCGTTTTTTGTTTAATTAGACATTCAATTACGATAATTTTTCACAACGAAATCGATTCTTTGAACGACATTAATTAAATATTTCACGAATAAATCATTTTCAAATCATACGTCCCAACAATAAGAATCCATCTCCACCGTTGATCTAAAGAATAAGAATAGAAATTCTAGAAAAACGATCTAGACATCTGTATGAAAAAAAAAAAAATTGAAAAGAACTTTCGAGACAATCTAATACCTTCCTCCAACGTTTCTCCTTTTCCTCTTCTAATTATATCTCTCGTTCGATTTCCACGTATTTTACGACGCAAACGAAATTATCCGTTCGTTTCGGGGCCATAGATGGATCTTCCAATAACTTGGTAATTTCGAAAGAGCGGCCAGTATGATAAATTGCCAACGGGAGATCGCCTATCCCTCCTACTACCCCCGTGGAAATTGCGATCGATCAAAAATTCCGCAAGCATTAAACGGATTATGCAATTTATACAAAAAATTGGCGTCAGCCGACTAGCGATCAGCCGATAAATAATATTTGGAAATTTATCGGTGAAAGAATAGAAGGATAAACGATGATGAAAAAAAAAAAAAGAAAGAAAAAGAGGAAAAAAGGAGGAAGAAGCAAATGCAAATTGCATTGCGTGTAATTTATACAAAAATTTTCTTATGTTCACGTTTCAAGTCGTACTGTACACGAGGCGCAAAACAAATAAAACAGCGATAATTTTTCACGCGCGACGATGTCGTAAAATTTTATATGGATGTGACGCACGATAGAGAGATTCGAATGTGGCGTGGAAAATTGTTGTACGTACACCGTCGCGATCGGTTTTCCAAACGTAGTAGCCGTTAAAACGTCGATTAAATAAATATCGAATATTTCAATTCACCGAACGGCAATTTAAAACGGGTATAAATAGCTGGTGGAAAAATTATTTTCTAGCTTGAAAATCAATATTATGGTTACGCGTTTCTCTATCAATATTTTATAGTCAAATGGATTGCTGTTGTTCCATGCATCTGGATTGCGGTTATTTCGGCTCGTTCATTAATTGAACGACAAGGTTACGATCGTTTAAGTGGTATTTTTAATAATTTGCTATCGGAATCGTGGTAATAATTTAGAATTTTGCTAATCGGTTATTTAAAAAAAAATTTGATTAAATGGCGTAGAATTATATTAAATTGGATCAAAGAATAAATGAATAAATATCGAAGAAAATTTTTAACTTCACGAATGAATTCTATAATCATTAAGTATATATACAACCAGCTAATTAAAGAATCAATAGCGAAGAATCACCGTCGAATGCATAAAACGAAAAGTGAAAAAAAATAAATATCTCAAATTCCACAAAAAAAAAAATTCAGATAACACGAGTCCTACGATATATGTACATATATCGTGATGCAAAATCGTACGTACGTAATAATTCTCAAATTCTCTTCTTCCACCACCCCTTCGAAACCCTTTTCTCTAGCACGACGAACAAATCGAATCCGCGGCTAATTGAAATTTAGAAACGCGGTAAAATCCCTGCGCACCATAAAATTCCACCGTTGTACGCGCCTCGTGCACGAATATTCTAATGCAATTTGCGCGAGTTCCATTACCGTTCAGCTGGTTCAAATCCGAGCGCTCGGTGCGGATCTTGTCCCTGTGAATCAGCGGTTCGCCACCAGAGAAATCGGCCACCGTCGCCGCGTACAGCTGCCCCTCTGAAACATGCATAAAACGTGTCCCTGTCAGTCGTAGTCACATCCACCCCCTCACCCCTCCCTCAACCACCCTCCTGGCATTTTACACCGGTTAAACGAGGACTGGGTGAGCTACAGCTGAAACGAAATCCGCTAAAGGCGCCTTCCACTTCATTTCCAACGTGGCGCTCCGGCCGGAAATCGTTCGCGAAACGCGCCACCACCCTGCTCGCGGCTGTGCCTAATCACCGTTGCATTGTCTCTGCCCACGGTTCAACGATCGCAACACCCGGCTCTGCGACGGGGGATTACAGCTATGCGCCCGAAAGCGGAGGAATTGGCGCTGGCTTCGAGCCTGGCAATTAAAGAGTACCGAAATTCACATGGGACTCGTGTACTCACAATTAGTATTCATTTTCGCTGTTGGGATTAGAGGGAGGAGAGGTTGGAGACGCGTAGATACGAATCGAACCTATGTTCGATAAGGATGATTAGGATGGGAGTGAAGGGGGTTGAATTTGTGAAGTTGGACGGGGATGGAGATTGGATATTGGGTGTGAAAAATGTTGGGCAAGTGTGTTTAGTTAATGAATATTTATAGCAGAGATAGGCTTGAATTTATCAATTGTATTATATCGATTGGTTTGGATACTTTCAATTGGTTCAATGCTGCATATAAAGAGGTCTTTTTAAATAAAGACTACTATCTTTCAAAGATAAAAATATTGCAATTATCTGAACGATATTTAAAACTAAAAATGTTTAAGATATATTCAATACAATAATATCAATAAATCGACAAAACTGTAGTTTACAGATTTACAAATAGTTTACAGATAGTTTACTTCGATACGACAACCACTAAACAATTCTTCAGAAAATAATTTGCGCGAACTTACATAAAAAAATTCAATTCTTACTAGTTACACTTTTATACAACAATTTTATAAAACAAACTATAATTATCTCCAAAATCTATAATTATCAAAATCATTAAAATTTCGCCTTAAAATATTTTTAAAATTATTATACCGAGATATTCCAAATAATAAAAATAAAACACCTAATATATTACTGAATCCCTAAAAAATTAAAAAAATGCAATAAAAAAAGTAGCATTCCAGGTAGAAGATAAGTGTGAAAAAAAGTGAATATCAAAATTTATATATACAGCAAAAAAAAACTTCTAAAAACTCTAAAAAAAACGGCAACAGTCAAAAAAATGGTAAAGAAGTAAGTAGGAGAACGATAGATATGTGATAAATGTGAAAAAAACTCCATTTAAATTACGTTATCCTAATAGAAAATCGAATGTTTGACGAAAAGTTTCGATGTATTGCTCGAGCGCA